GACTATGTAGAACGCACCGAGTCCGAAGTCGTCTGCCATAGTAGTTGTATTGATTCCCAGCATCTGACAGGGGACTTGATACATTCTTAAACGTTTCGCCGGCATCGTATTCGGCATCATCATTGAGCTTTGCCATTCTCCGCGAAACGTTTGAGAATGTAACAAGTCCACTGTCTGCTGCTGGAAATCATGACAAATTCTATAGCAGACGACTATGGACTGGGTGTATTCTACATATTCGCCCTGACAACAAGACCAAGTTGCGGCAGCGACGTCAACCCACTTCTATAATTCTTTTAATTTTAATGACTCGGTGCTGGATTGGAGTTGTTATAATAATGGTGTCCACCTCTGATGATGTCCACCAACTAACAATATAGAAAAGGGCTTAATCATTTCTCATTGGAAACAAAGGAGGATGCAAAAGTCTTAGCATTCATGCAAAATCAAAAAAGGCAACAAACCGAGTAGAAATTGATATCATCTTCTGATAACAATTATTATCGAATCACCTCGTAGCAGAACCTCTGACATGAACTTGAAATAAGCCAGAAAAGGAGATCTCAAGTAATTAATCGAAACTGCAAATCTATTTTCATCTTGCTAAAGCAGTATTCCTGTTTTTATCCAATCATGAAATTTCCAAATTAACTCTTAGCTATGACACAATTTACAGAATCCTTAGTAAGTGCAGGCTTGTCAAGAAAATGTTAGACGCTGCTGGATATTGCAACAAAAGGACTGTTGGAGAGGGTCATTACCGGATGACTCGTGGGATCTTGCTGCTAGACGCAAAGGGAAAGGACCTTTTAGGTTGATGTTGGACCTAGACACGCCCTCCTCGTCCCGATAAGATTATCTCAATTGACTTCTGTCTTTCTTTCGAGTAAAGTCCTCTCATTCTCACACAAAATCTTCCATTTACCTATCATCAGTCAAGCTAAAATTGCTATAAAATCTCTCCTCAATTAGATGTCCCTTCTCTTTGTGGCCGGTTTCTGTAAGCAAACAGAAGACATTTTCTCGTCCCATTTGTTAGTGCTCTGCTTATAATGTTGCAATTATCGCTAGTTTAACAAACACATCAGGTATATGCTACTTTGGCACTATCGGTCGTTGCTTGATTGAGCCATCAAAAGAGGATCATTTTGATTACATCCACCCGCATGATAATTCCACCCAGCAATGCCGGCCCTTTGCTCCTTATACACCAGGTACTCATGATGACACTAGGCCCCAACGACCACCTCGGACTTCGCGAGCTCAATCTGCAGGGATGACATCTTCACTTCCGGCATCTCCCCTAAACCCTGAGCTATCCTATTCACAAGGTCTTTCGGAGCACGCATCGGTCCGCGTCGATTCCTTTAGCAGAGACGGAATGCAGCCTTCCGACTCCGCCAATGTCTCAAACCGACCGCCTCATATCGAGACGTCAGACAGTCGGCAAGTAGCAATTTTCCCAGTGCCTGAGACTGTTGTGGCTCAAAGTACCGTTCTACTGGAACGCCGTGCCAAGTATGTCGACCTGTAACTTGAGCAGGTATTTTTTATTAATGTTAGCCTTTGAACGAAGTTAAAACTCATAAAATCTGTTCGTCGCTGGTGAGTAGGCAGATGGTGATTTGAGGCTATCTCTTCTTACTCAGTTACTCCATTCTAGTAGTATTAATGTCAAAAAAGTAAATATAATTATTTGATTTGGGG